CTGTCCCTAAGCTAAGGTCACTCCCTCTCAAAGGAGAGGACCCAACCAGACTCTCATAGGATGGGGTCTGGGTCTGGAGAAAGCTTGCCAGTGCACACTACTTCCCCCTGCTGCTGCTCCAGAGAATACTCCTGCGTGCATCGGTCGCCCTGGGACCTGCAGGTTGGCAGGTGTGCTGGGGAAGACAGGTTGGCAGGTGTGCTGGGGAAGAAAGCGTAGACCTTTGCAGAGTATTCTGTTTCTTGCCCACACCCTCCCCCCACCCCCGCATTGTGCCTGAGTCTGTGTGTTGGTGCTGCCACTTTCGGCTTTGTGACCTCAAGCAGGTCCCTTTTCCTCTCTGTGCCTCAGTCTTCATCTGTAGAATGGGGATGATAACACGATCTAACTCATATTATTTAGAGGGGATTAAATTATTTAAGCCCAGGCACACAGCAAGGACTTGGGCACACAGCTGTTACTGTGTTTGATGAGGGCATATGGGAAGCAAGATTGGGCCTGCTCCCCCCCCCCCCGCCCGCCCGCCCGCCCTGACACTGACCCCACTGGCCCATAGCAAATGAATTACTGCCAAAATGGAGTTGCTGGGAAAGCAGCTGCCAGAGGAAAGTGCTTTGTCTCTCCTTTGGAAGTGTCATTTAATCAGAGTTGGGGAGGGTTTGTATTCACTGACTCGGTGAAGTAGGTGAAGAAGGACAGGGTGCAGGTTAGCAGATGGAACATTTTGCATGAAGTGCCTGAGGCAGGAGAGTTTGGCTGGTTCACAGAAGGGAGGCAGGGGTCTTTGAGGTGTTCCTTAGAGTGTAGAATGGATGCAGGGGATGAGGTGAGAGCAGGCAAGGCAGGTTCCACAGAGCTTGAGGGTGTGCTGAGGTGTAAGGACTGGTCCAATGGGTGCTAGGGAACTATGAGAGGGTTGTGGGGCCCCTTGTCAGTCCTGATTATAGAGAGACTCTCTGGGGTTAAATGGTTAGCCACTGGGAGACGAGACTGAGAGGCTAGGCTACATCAGGTTTCACCCTAAGTGCCATTTCCTCCCAGACATGCCCTCCACCCCCGCTGAGCATCGGACAGGATGAGTTCCAGGGTGTGGGGACAGCAGCCAAGTGATGAGTCAGGGCCCAGGCCAGCGGGGCCAGCAAGTAAAGATGATTTCACCTTTAATCACAGGGGACAGGGAGAACCTAATCACACAAAACCCCAAATCCCTTCACTCAGCAGGCAGTTATGCCCACAGCAGCTGATGAACCCTTCTGTTTGTAAAGACGCAGGCATGGAGGTCCAGGAGAGGGCGACCACCCTTCACAGGGATCTTTCTCAGATCCCTGTGCTTGACCTGCCTCTGCCCTAATGTTCACTGGGTGCCCAGAGACTCCTTTGAAAGGGAGATCAGCACCATGCTTCCCACTGAAAGAGAGAAACTGAGTCTTGGGAACAGGAAGTGAAGGTGTCTGAAATATGTCCCACAATGAAAACTTCCCTCCCCTCCCCACTTGGGTTTTCTGGGTCTGTGGAAAGGGTGGCAGTTTTCCTTCCACTGGGAGAGGAGGTGGGAGGCTCTATGGGAGAAATGTGTCCATAGAGGGGCAATGCCTTTAGTGCCAGGCCCCTGTGCTGGATGCTGGGATGCATTATTGACCACACAGTCCTGTCCCGAGGGACAGGCTCTACCCCAGTGACCCAGAGGCAAAAACAAGAAAAAGAGTACAATGAGATGGAATGACTGGGGGGAGAAGAACCTGGAGGGGGCTGGGAAATGGCTCAGGGAGACCACTGAGGAGGAGCAGGGCAGTGTGGTCCTAAACTACATTGCAAAGGGCTAAGCAGATTGGAAACAGCAAGAGCAAAGGCCCTGGGGCAGGACTGTGCCTGGAGCCTGTGGCTGGAGCAGAGGAGCAGCTCTCACAGGGCATTGTGAGAGCTGGACACCATGAACCGGTTTGCCCTTTAATTCCTTTTCTCCATTCCCTCTGTCCTCAGGCCCCGTGGAGAACTGACTCCCCGAAGTCACTACCCCCCTGCACCCCCAGAAGAGGGGTTGAGAGTAGAATCTTCTGTGGACGAAGGAGCCACTGCCACCCCCACCGACACCGCCTCCGGGGAGGCCCCTGAGGCTGGGCCCTCCCCCTCCCCCACCATGTGCCAAATGGGAGGCCCAGGCCCCCCATCCCCCAGCCCCCCGGATGGCTCCCCTGACCCTCCGGACCCCCTCGGTGCCAAATGAGGCAGGAAGCCCCTCACTCTTCCCTGGAGAGCCTCCTTTCTTGGAACTGAACTGAACTTTCGGGCCTGGAGCCCCTCGGCACAGTGGAGGCCCCTCCTCACCCACTCTGGCCCCAGGCAGGGGCTGCAGGCTTCGGGGACCTGGACCCCCCCATCTCGCGTCTCCCCTTTTCTTCCCTAGCCCAGTCCAGCCCCTGGAGGGGCCTCCAGTTCAAACCTTTGCGTGGCATTTTCACATTATTTAAAAAAGACTAAAACAACTTTTTGGAGGAACCTGGGGCCTCAGTGTGTTTGGGGGGCAAAGAGGCAAGGCTGTGCAGAAAGAATTGCCGACCTCAGCACCGTCTGATGGATGGAAAACAGGCTCAGGACATGGCCAGCTTCTGTGTAATCCATCGCTGGGTCTGGTGCTGCCAACCCAGCTTCATCTGTGTCCTTGAAAGACAGTTCCAAGAGGCCACAAGGAGCCAGCAGATTGGGGAAGGTGGCAGGTTATGATCAGGTAATGAGTGCCCAGAAGGGACCTGCAGGGTACAGGAGCTCCTGAGCACATCCCTCACACCTCAGGACAAACGGTCTATCCTCCAGCAGCTGCCCTTGCTGCTCCAAGTGAGGGCTCACCCCCTGATAATTCTAGTCTCTTCCATTCTTCCATATCTCTGCCTTTGTCCCTTCAGGTCCTGCTCCACCCTGCCCTAGTTCCCTGCTCCACCTGGTTGGGTGTCGCACATTTCTCCTGCCAGCCTCTCCTTTCAGGCTTCTTCCTATTTACTGTTTCTCCTCCCTCTTTATTGTCTCCCTGTTGCCTTCCAGTCTCTGGCAGATCTTTGGACTCATGTTTTGGTAGGTGCCTTTCTCTTTGCCTCCTGAGTGCTTGACTGATCTGGCCTTGCGCCTCTGTCTTTTCCCCCTGAACTGGCTCTATCTTTACCTCTCAGGGGAGAACTACCATTGTGTCAACGTCAATTTGCCTATTTGAGGAATGTGAAGATGAAAGGGGCCTGCTTCCACCCCTGCTCATCTCCTTAAGGCAGCCAGAGGTCCCTCCTCCATCTTCCATCCAAGTACCCTTCACTTCCCATCACCATCTGCCTCAGTCAAAGCCATAGGGACACACCAGCCTGCTGTCCTCAGTGAGTAACACCACACCACACCCGCCCTTCACACATTGGCTTTCATCCACAGTGGATGCACGCCTGCACCTTCACCAAGCCAGTTTTCCCCACTAGCTGTTTGCTCAGTACCTACTGTCAGGATATCATTTAATAAAGTTAAAAACTAAGCCCCTACTCCTTGCCCAGAAGGCAAGTTGGAGAGGATTGGATAGACAAGGTAATGGATAAGGTTGCCATGGGAACTGGATCACTTTAAGACCAGAAAAAACAGCCCAGACTCACCTATGGGTTCATTTCATGGAGGGCAAGATAAGGTGATAGGGTCCTAGTATTTATTCAGGGGCCTCTTTTTCCATGACCTTTTTTGATGACTTCTTTTCCCTGAACCTTGGGAGGAACTGTTAAGTCTATTTCCCATCAGCCCATGGAGTTGAAGAGATCAGGGTCACTGTTCCCAACCCACTAGGAGACCATGCTGCCACAAAACCTAGCCAAGACTTTGACTACAACTCCCAAACCTCAAGACTAGATCTCCCACCATTGGGATGGTCAGCACCACAGTGCTTGCTGGGAACTGTACTCTGAAGGCTTCATAGGCGACACACCTTTGCAGACAGCTGTTATTTTGGTGCTCTTGGGTCCTTAACACTGGCAGGTGCCAGCAGTCAAGAATGGGGCTGGGGCCATACCAGAAATTCAGGATGCTTCCCACAAGGTGCTCTCCTCAATCCCAGGTTTTGCAGCGAGCGGGAGCAACTGCCAACTCCCAGCAAAAGAGTGACAGGTCTGGATCCTGGTGTGTGGTTTCCTGTCAGGTGTGTGGTTTCCTTTGCTAACAGTCCTCAGCCGCAGAGCTGGGCACAGGAGATGGGAAACTCCCAAGCTACCAAACCACCCAAGGTCCCCAAGCTGTTCTCTGGGGATACCATGCCTATACAAGCTGGAGGGTAATGGGAAGGGCGGGTGGGGCAATCAGACCCAGACTGGGGCATAGGGACATGCTGCTCCCAGGCTCCACCCTCAAGATCAGTTCTTACACTTCTGAGACTATCAGACTCCTGGCAAAGGAATTGTTAGGAAAAGGCAGCTTCTCATGGCTGTTTACCCAAGGTGAAAAATCTTTAAAGGATGATCCTCTAGTGGCTGAGAAGCCCTCTAAATCACTCCACCTGTCACAGAGCCATCATATTAGCCTCAAACACCTGCCCCAAGCCACTTCTAGCTCACTCAAGACACCAGCAACCTCCCAGTGGGCACACAGAGCAAGGCCTCCCCACCCATTTTAACAATCTTGTCTTCTTCCTTCCCTTCCAATTCTATTTATCCTCCCACCCCCACATCCAGAGCAGGCCATCCTAGCTCTTCTAGATCCCATTGTCCCATCAATGGAAGGGATAAGCATCTGGCTCCTGGTGGTCAAGTGACACCCTCACCCTGGCCTCCTACACCTGCTTAAGTCACTGCACAATTCTAACTCCACACTCCAGGAGCTGCCTTCAGCTTCTCCCTTTGCCCTCTGTTGGCCAGGGTTGCCAGCATCTGCTCCTGCCCTATGAAAGTCAGCAACGGAGGGGACAGGAACAGGACACGCTCCCCAGCTTGGTTAATGACAGGGCTGCTGGGCCAGTTCTACCAAGCACCTCAGCTGTCAACCTCAAAAATGAGAGGGTACACAGGTCACCAGTGGTCAAATAATTAATAAGATTACCAACCGCATGTTAATTACAAAGGAGAGGAGCGAAAGGTGATGACTTTTCCAGATGGGGAAACCAGGATCTGTAGCCCCAGAGCCCAGGGGTCCGGCCACCCAGGCGGGGCAGCTCCCTAATAAATAATGGGGTGGGGGCAGAGGGTCAGGGCTGCTCCTGCTTCTTCTTGACAGAAATTCGCTTCTTCCTTGCTGCCAGCATCTCATAGAAGGGATCCACACTCACAGCTGCCCTGCAGAAGGGGAGGGACAAAATGGTGAGGCCCAAGGAGTCTGGACCCCCTCCTCCCAAGGACTCCTGGAGCCCAGGCTCACTGGATAGACTTGATCCACTCATCCTTCTCCTCCTGCGTGGGGGCGGAGATCCGGTACACCATGTGGTTCCCCTCAACCACCCGGCCATCCGCCTCTGTTTTGCAGGCTTTGATGAGCTGCCCCTTGTTGTTAGGGATGTAAAGTTCAAAGCAGTTCTGGAGGACACGGAAAAGGAAGAATGACAGGTGAGAGCCAGTCCCAGGATCAGGAGGCCCATCCCACAACAGAAAGGGGGACAGAGAGGGTCTTACTGGTTTCCGGGGATCATCCACCTCTCGGATGCTCAGGTTCTCCAGGGGGATGATTCCTCGAGGCTCCTTGTCCTGGAGGAGCAAGTTGGAGAGAACTCAATTTTCAAATGCTCACTCCAACCACTCTTCCCTCAGACCCCAGAGTCCAGCCCTTGGCCTCCCCCCTCCTCCGGAACCGAAGTACAGCCACCCAGCCCCTCCTCCCAGCACTCCAGATGACAGGCAGCCCAGCCCTCACCGTTGTATACTCAAAATAGTAGAGGCAGTTGTCAGTGAGGATAAACCAGCGCCGTTTCCAGGTCTTCACCCGGCCCCCTGAAAGGGAAGGGGTGGGAGGGGGCCTGGGCTCAACAGGGGGGACAGGGCCTCTGAGGGGCAGGGAGGGGAGTGAGAAGCAGAACAGCAGGGAGGCTGGGCTCTGGGGCTCAGGACAAAGCAACGTGTGGGAAGAGACAGACAAGCAGGGACAGGGTGTTTGGGCTGGGAACAGGCCCACCCCCAGTGAACGCTCTAGGCTTTCTAAGCCTGTCTGTCAACCCTCAGCCCCCTCCTCCTAGGGGTCCCCTCTTCTGGTGTAGTGTTGGGGAGAGAAAATGAGCCGTGTACCTACCTCCTGGGGCAGACAGCGAGAAAGCAGGCAGGACCAGGCGAGGAAGAGAAGGCAGAGGAATGGGGTGCCCCCAAGAGCCACAGGCAACAGAAATATGGAGGATGCAGGAAGGAAAGTGTGGGGGTGGGACAGAGAGACATGGAGGAAGAGGAGGGAGGGAGGGAGAGAAAGGGAAGAAAACCAGTTACATCCACATGAGGGGGTGAGGGCCAGACCCTCTCCCTCCTGGGGAGGTCCAGGGTACTAAGTCCCACAGCAGTGGCCTCCGATACAGTGAGGCAGTGCTGGGCTCTGATCCCCTCTGTCCACCAACCCAGCCCCCACAGTGAAGAGGTCTCTCCCCACAGATGGGAGGAAACCCCCCTCCCCCCTGATGTTCTAGGTCTCAATTTGGAGCGGGATCTCAGTTCTGCCTAGCACAATCTGCCTGTGTGACCTCAAGACCACCTCTTGACCTTTCTGGGCTCCAGTCTGGAGACCCACAGCTTCCTGCTTCAAAATGGTTCCTTTTGGTTCTAGAAAGATTAAATAATGTAACAGTGGCTTTACTAATATCACAATTACCAGTTCCTTTTGTGGAATTAGACTCTTTTTTTTTTAAAGGTTTGTCTATGCACACAGAACTGGGGTGCAGGCCAGAGGTGCAGGGGTGGTGAGAGGATTCACCAGAGACAGAGTGGGGAGCAGAACAGGCCGACTGACAAAGTACACTGCTGAGGGAGGGAAGCAGCGGGCAGGTCAGGAGAGGTCTGCCGCGCCATGTGGGTCACCTCTGGGGCTGGGGATCGAACTCAGGCTGAAGTGCCTTAAGCTTCTTAGTGTTGTGCTTTAACCCGTTGTGCCACCTTTTAAAGAAAGGCACCTTTTCCTGGCTGCCACCAAGTAAAAAGATGCAGAAGTCTGGGTACAAGGCCACCTCTGCCCTATGGCTGCTGGACTGCTACTGAGCAGGCTGGGACAGGAAGTTGTTGCTAGTGAAGTTTCCTGCCTGCTCAGAGTCAGAGGCACCATTAGGCCTCGAGACTCTAAATCCCCCCAGATCTACCACCTCCTGAAGCTGATGCAGGAATGCACACTTCCCACAGGAATGCTGGAAAGTATAAATTGCATTTGGAGGGAGTGGGGCTACCAGGACATTTCTGGCTGAGAAAACTAGGACTTGACAAGAGAAATTTTACACGGGCGAGGGGGAGACCTGGAGGGAGTAAAGTCCTACCTGGGCTGGAAGTTCCCTCCTGCTACCCTGGCTGACTCATTGTCTCCTTGAGTTGGTCAATCACTGGGAGACTAATGTTTCCACTGCACCCACCATTATCAGGCATGGTGCCAAGTCAGTGGCTTTTGACGTTGGCTGTGTGTTGGAGGCAGCCGGGGAGCTCTCAACAGGGTTAATGTGCTATCCTGCCCCACCGATCCTGACTTCCAGAATCTGGCCTTACCACTTGGGTTTTCAAAGCTGCTCCCAGGCGATGCTGCCAAAGCCAGGGCCGAGGACCACCCGCATCTTCAAATAAACCCACGAGGGAGATACCTGCTAACTGACCCCGAGCTCACAGGTATTGTGGGTTTCAAGGCCTCCCTCACTGATCCCACCTCTGGGATGCTCCCTAGCCCTGCCCTTCACGCCAAACATTTATGGAGACCCTTCTCTGGATCAGGTTCTGTGCTTGGGTCCAGCACACAGACTGGATGATGTTCTCAGCCCTGTTTTGTAGACGGAAACAGGTTCAGAGAAGTCCAGTCACTTGCCTAAAGTCACACAGTAGATGTGTGGAAGCCAAGTCCTGAGCCCAGGCCCACCAAGTTCTCTCCAGAGACAGCCCATGGTGTCATGAGGAAACGTACCCAGCTTAAGGAGCCAGCCTTCCCGGTCTGGGTTGAAGAAGGTGTGGGTCAAATCATTCCCGTCATCCTCTGGAATCTTGAAGGGCTCATTCCGGATGCTGTCATAGAGATTCTGAGGGGCAAAGGCACTGTCAGCAACCTCAATCCCCTGGGACCTGCCAAGGGCTGCCAGGGGAGATGAGGATGCTCCAGCAGCCAGGGAAGCGAGGAGACCAACGAGGGAAGGAGGGAAAGGGGGAAAGTAGAGACTGGGAGGAAAGGAAAGCAGAAGACAAAAGGGAGGAAGCCCAGGGAAGAGAAACAGGAGGGAAAAAAGAAAAAAGAAAGGCAGAGACACTTGGAAAAGCTAGCCCATTTTTCCCCAACAGCCAGTCAGGTGAAGAATGACAGAGCAGCCAAGACCCTGAAAGTGAGGGGGCCCGAGAGCAACAGCAAGGCAGGGGAAGAAACACAGTTGGCATCGCCACGACCTCTGGTGGGTAGGAATCCCAGGGGGTAGCTCTGGTTCTGGGACACCCCGGGGGGGCGGGAAGAGCAGAGAGGAGGCTGACCCTGAGCAGCTCTTCGGGCAGGTCTCCACCCTCGTTGATGCCCCGGTTCATGGCCACAAAGCGCTCCAGGCCTGGCTTATCACGGACGTTGGGGTTGTGGAGGCTTGTATTCAGCATGATCACAGCGAAGGACAGCACATAGCACGTGTCTGCACCAGACAGTGACGTCAGATAACCACCTCAGCCTGTGGGCCCCAGAGCCCTCCTCCCCAGGCCCAGGTTTCAAGCTTACCAGTGGACTGGAAAACCCCAGGGTTGCACAGGCAGTATCGCTGGGCAAAGGCTTCCATCATCCGGTCAATCTTCTGAGCCTCTCCCGGGAGGCGGAAGCTCCAAAGGAACTGCCTGGTTAAAGAGGGGCCAGTGAGGATGGCCATGCTGATACAGCTCTCTCCACTCTCAGCTCCGGTGAGTGTTAGGCAAACGAACAGGGCCATTATGAGCCCTAAACTGCGTGGCCTTATGGCTGCCTGAGAGGCATGCGATCCAGTCTGACCAATGAGCACTGGCCATAAGACTGGTGGATGTATATGGCAACAGCTTCCTTCTTCCAGCTAAGAAAACTCAACAGTAACTGGGGCTTTTATGCCAGCACAGTAACAAGCATAACCAGGAGCTAGAGGAAGTTCACTTTCTGATACTATTTGAACGTCTAGCCATAGCTATGCCTGCAGGAGGCCCTGTGGTGAACTTTTATGTTATGAAAGCAATCAATATCCAAAGTTTTGTTCCTTTTTTGTTGGATTCATCACTTGATGGCTGCCCTTTCAGCCACTCACCCTACTCACCTGAGGGCCTGCACCAGGTTGAGGTCTGTGAACTCATGCAGATCCACAAAGGCATGAAGCACTGCCAAGTTCAGCTCTTCCCTGGGAGGACAGGGACAAAGTCATATACCGGAAGCAGCACAATGAGGTGGGAGTGGCAGGAGACAAAGTACTGGGGAGACTGCCCACTTCATCAGCACAGCAGCTGCCTCTGCTGCAGGTCAAACTTTGGTGTGGTCACAAGCCTGGCACTGAGGCAAGGACACTCAGACTCACTCTTGGGAGGACCATCTGCTGCAAGAAACCTGGTTTGGACAGTTGGGGAAAATGCAGCAAATGTGGCCTCTGCCTACCCTCAGCTCTCTCACATGATCCCGGGTTCTGCAAATGTTAACATGGGCCCCAGATTCCTGGACACCGCACCCACAAACCCCAGGGTCCGTAGATGGTTTCCAGTCATTTGTAACAGTCTCACATCCCCTTGAAATCTACAAACAGTCCCCAAATACCCCAGATATGTGCAGATGGTCTCATATACCTGAGACGAACAGTTCTTAGACATCAACAGACAGTCCCAGTGTACCACAGATGTCCACAGATGGACCCTAAGCTCCTCAGATATCAAAAAAGTTCCACACAACCCACAGGGCTACAAAACCCCTAAGTAACCCAGACATTCAGTTTCTACACACCCCAGAAGCTTACAGATGGGCGCTTAGCTCCCTAGATGTCACAGAAGGTCCCCATTCACCTTAATATTTAGATAGCTTCCACGTGCCTGACATCTACAGATGGTCCACATGCATGCCAGATGTCCATAAATCTCTTGGAACCCCTGACATCCACCAGTGGTCCCCACATACTCCTCATATCCAGAGGCCATGTACCCTCAAACTCCAAGATGTGCAGAGTCCCCATACTTCTGAGCTGTCCACACAGCTCCCATGCATACCAGGTGACCAGAAAATTCAGATGTTCTCCACTGTTCCCTCGCATAAATGGAGAGTTCCCATGCTTCCCAAATGGCCACAAGAAGGCCTTCAGGTCCCCCAGATGCTCAAATAGTTCCCATGATCCCCAGATGCCCCAGACTCCCCAAGATCCCTGGGTCAGTCCTTTCTTCTGAATCTAGTCAGAGAACAAATGTGTCAAGGCCTCCTCTTGGGAGGAGAGGGGCTGGTGGTAGAAGGGCAGACCAAGGGCACATGGGCATGAGGAGGGGTCAAGAGCTGGGTAGAAGGGTCTCACCTCTCTCCCAGGTAGTCCCCGATGGCTGTCTTGTTCAGGCCCTCACCCTTGTACAGGAATCGAGCAATTTCCTCAGGTGTGTTCTGCAGAAGTTCATTCTCTACCAAGAACTGGATCCCCTGGGGGGTAGGGACAGGTCTCAGTGCTGAGGGCCAGAAAACCACTTCCTCCACCTCCCTTTTTTAAGAAAACATTAATTTATTCATATGCACAAGAACTGGGGTGCAGGTGAGAGGTGCAGGGGGTGGAGAAGATCCACTACAGAATGGGGAGTAGGGAACAGAGCAAGCAGATATACTGAAATACACTGCTGAGGAGAGCAGCGTAGAAGCTGGAGGTTTTGCTGTGCCATGTGGGTCAGATCCCTGGATGGGGACTGAACTCATGTTGCAGTGGCTGGTGATAGGTTGATGGTGCTAAGATTAAATCCCTTGTGCCACCAGGGAGGCCCATACCTTTAACAGAGCAAGGCCAGGCTTCATTTTCAGTCTCCTCCCAGGTCTTTAATTTCCATCCCTTCCACCTCATACCTACTATTCCCTCTGCCATTGTCTAGAACAGGGTTTGGCAAGGAATAGGAGCTCAATGTTTGTTGAATGACTGAACAAACCACAACTGCTTTGAGTGAGAAGTGAGAAACGTTGGTAGACTGCAGTCCATCAAGTGCTGTGAGGATCAAGTCTCAAGCTGGACTAGGGCTTCTCAGACCTCCCTATGCAGTAAAGACCTCTACTGTACTTATAGCTCACATTCTCTGGATTGTGTGTGTGTCCTGTCCAGGGACTCCCTGGGTCCCCAGTGTTGCCCAGCACAAGAACAGGCCCCAGGAAATGGGTGTAAAGTAAGTATCTGAATAAACAAACATCTTCCCTCCACGTGGTGAACAGACTCATCCTTGAAACCTGAACTGAATGTTCCCTCCTCAAGGAAATCCCCCCTGATGCCACTAAGCTCCCTCCTCTGAATGTCAAGGCCCTGATACCATCTTTTTATCCTAGCACTGGTCAGCCCTCCTATGTTCCCTATCAGACTGAAGTTCCTCATTGGACTCTAGGTGACTCTGAGAAGTGGGTCCAGAAGTCTGAGCAGAAAGAGGAAGAGGAACTCCAACATAGCATACAGCACAAGCAAAAGTCAGGAGGCTGGAACTCTTCGGTTCCAGAGGACAAAAAGACCATTACCTGGATCCATGCCCCACTAGTTTGACCACCTAAGGCAGACCTTTAACCAACATACTTCTGAAACCTGGAGGAGCCAAGACCTCCCCTGCCTAGCTATCTGCGTGACTCATCCCAGCCCTGTGTGGCTTCAAGTACCTTCTTGGGGTCCATGTTGAACTTCTTTCTGCCCATTGCCATCTTCCGATTCCGCTGCAAGGTCTTACTATAGGGGCAGAGAGCGGGAGATGGACAGTCAATGTCTGAGCCCTCCGTGGCCCTGGCCAGGTCTCATGACCCCAAAGTTCTCTGCCCCAGCCCTCACCTGCCCTCATTGGCCTCCAGACCCTCCACCTCGCTCATGGCTTCACTGAGCTCCTCCCGGAGGCGCTGGATCTCCACCAGCAGCTCCTGCTTCCGCCGTCTGATGTTCTCTAGCTCCATCCGCTCCTCCGGAGTCAGGTCTGGGGGTTCTGGAGGCCGGGATCAGGGATTGGAGTTCAGTTCTGGGGACTGAGAATCTGAATTCCTGCAATCTAGGGGAGCACCGGCCTGTGGTGGGCAGGACTCCTAGACTTGGGAGATGAATATGAGCGTTGGATCTGGATCCTTTACTCTAGGAAAGCCAAATATCTACAGACTCCTGAGTCGTGGGGATGAGGGGCTTCAGAGTCTGGACTCCTGAGACTAAGGGAGAAGGGGAACTGAGAGCCCGAACTCAGGTCTGAGGGAAGAAAGGACTGGGTGTGTGAACTTCTGGGTCCATTTACTTGGAGCGGGTACGAGATCTTGTCGTTCTGCCTCCATTCCCCGCGAAGTGGCTGGGGGCGTGGGTTCGTGGGTACACTGAGCAAAGACCGGTCTGGGTGTCCAGACTCTTGGGTTCATGAAATGGAACTAAGGCAGGAGAAGCTGATGGCAAGGGGGCGGGGCATCGAAGAGTTCCACCCCCGCCTCGGCTGTGTTTCTGTAGATTCTCGCCGCCCCCCCAACCCGCAGCCCCGCTTCCCGCTCCCAGCAGCAGGCGTTGGGCTCGCCCGGCCCCTCCAGCAGCAATGGTTTCTTCCCGGTCTCGTCTGCACCGCTCCATCCCGCCCCCTCCCGCCGCCACCGGAAACAGACTCGGCCCAAACAATGGCCTGGAACGCCCCGGTCTCCGGCACCGCCGGAAGCCAGCCACGGGCCCCACAAAAGCGAAGAGAAGAGGCCCGAACGTTGCCACGCGGCGCGCCGTGGGGACATGCGCCGCTGAACGTTCTGGACCAAAGCGCCCAGCTCTCAGTCAGCCCCGCCCCTCTCCGACCTACCATAGACACCGTCTTCCATGGCGGCTAGGAAGGCCCGCGGCGAGTCCGGGGCAGTCCCGCCGGTCGGGCCTGGATCCGCGTTGGCCCGCGGGCTCGGATGAGCCCGCTCAAACGCCCCGGGAGCCACCGCCGCCTCCTCAGCGCCAGTCCTCAGCGCTGAAAAGACTCTCCCTACGCCTCCTAACCGCCCCGCCAGTAGGGACCGCCTCCCGTTTTGACACCATCCAATCCACGTCAGGCTTTCTTGCTTGCTCCGCCCCTGACACCAAAGTTTCATCCTCAAAAACCAATAGACGCACGAGGAGCAAACGTAACCCTGTTCAGCTGGAGGTAGACGGTCCGTAAGGCCAATCAGGATGAGGGTAGGGATAGTAGCCCCGCCTCCGAAACAAATAAGGGCACTTTGTTGCCTGGCCTGCCAATGAAAAGCTTCGGAAAGGACTTGCGTGTGGGAGGGACGGTGCGGAAGTAGAGAGCACTGAGCCTGCGCAAAACCTTCACGCTTTTGCAACTAAGCTCGGTCTTTTGTGAATGTTACTGGGGGGGCGGTGCTTTGTTCGTCCGGTTGGCAAGGGGCGGGGTCACAGCTGCCAATTGTTTCTGTGAACCCCACCTCCGAGCTTTTCACGTTAGCAGTTGCCAGGCAACCGAGAATCGTTTAGGCTCAACTTTATTTGGCCTTTCTTCTTGGCCTCTCCTATCTCTAGACCCTTTTCTTACCCTTCCACAATTCTCCATCCATTTTAGCCTCTTCAGAGTCAAGCAGTAGTGAAACAAAAGACCTATTCTCACAAATGCTTCCCTATTTGGTATCTGTTATGGGGAATTAGAAAGGGGAAGGTCAAATATAGTGAAAACAAGGTAGGGCCCTCTGCTTCTCAGGCTCCTCTCACTTCCCAAAACTTCCCTTAGCTTAGCATCTGCTCCCTAAGAAAACGTACCCTTTCTCAGCTTTCTCCCATTCTGATTCTCCTCCCTTCTCAAGGTTTTGCCCTCTTCTCCAGCTCACCTTATTTCAGGTTGTCCCCTCTTCCCCTACTCTTGATCTTCTTAAATTGCCCCCTCATCTCAGAGTCCTCCCAAATCTGAGGCTGTTCCTCCTCACTTCTTTTCCTTTCATACACAGCTGGTGCGAGGGCCTGGCTGGGATTGAGAGCCTGGGCATCCCTGTCATGGGTAGGTTCCTAATCAAGTCTGAAGAGCTGTCTGGTCCTTGTGCTTATTGGCTTGTCCCTGGGATAGGCAGTTTGAGGATGGATTCAAGGCCAGGACCTGGTTAAGATGATAGATTAGACACAGAGTTTTCTAATTCCCTCACTGACCTTTATGAGCAGCCATGGCTCTGCTCCCTAAAACCTAGGCTTTGCCAGTCATTCGTCCTCCCAAACAGAACCCTTTTCCTGGTCCTTTGCCCTACATCCTTCTCCATATCTGCATTTCCATTGCCTTCTCCCCCCACACACACACACCCCCAAACACACACGCTGGGTAGGGAGAGCACTCAGCTAATTAATCCTATCCTGTATTACAAGGGGATTCTGAAGGATAAAGGGAGGTGGTGAAGCCAGAGAGATCTGAGTTGATGCAGCACTGCAGGCTGCTGATGAGCAATGACAGTGCTACCCTTGGTCCTGGGACAGGAACGTGTCCTCCCTCTGGCACAGAGTCCTTCTGCGGCTGGCTCCCAGCCTATTGGGCACTTAGGTAGATAACAACATGGGCAAGGGACATGACACAAGGACCATGCCCCACAAACACTCAAAGACATACCACCTAGGCTCCCAGTGATTTAACCTGGGGTTAGCTCTCCCTCTAGACATGTATTCGAACGCCTTTGGTATTCAAAGTTACCTCCTCTTTCCCTTATATGCCCCCCCAAGTTGAATGGGGAGGAGGTGATTCTGGCGACAGCCCTTGCAACCCCTTACCTGCTCTGTGATGACTCAGACAGATTCTGAGCTACAAGGACATTTCCCATATCCCAGCTGTCTGTAGAAAGCCAGGTTCCAGCACCATGGAGAGCTAGGAAATCCCCAGGTGTCTCACCTCCTCCCCCCCAAACCACCCCTCAGTGAATGTTGGAATCATCCTGGTGGAAGAGTCTTCAGAAAATTTCAAGTTCCAATGCCTCATTGTTACAGATGGGGAACAAGGCAGGAGAATACACTAATTTGCCCAAAGTCAAGCAGCAAGTTGGGGCAGAGCTGGGATTCAGAGCAAAGCTCCCTGGATCTTTGTAAAGGATTCCATTACAATTAGCCCAAGTTTAGCACTGAACTCTTGTGCAGGAACTAGGGGGATAGATATTTGTATTTATATTACATATATGTATATACATATACAACACACACACACACATATAACTCTTTAAGAAATAGACACACATGACTAGCATAGGATTCCAGAGCACTGGAGATTCACCAACCTTGAACCTCTCTCTGCCTTTGCCCACTAACTGACCTTGTTACCCAGTCTTCCCTGGGCCCTCGCCTTATAATCAGCTCAGAATGCTGTTTTTCAAATCCTGAATCCACTTCTTAGAACAGACAACTCTGGAACCCTGGGGACTGGATTCTTTTTTTTTTTAAAGACTTATTTATACATATAGAACTGGGGTATAGGCCAGAGGTGCGAGGGGTAAGAGGATTCACCAGAGACATTGGGGAGTAGAACAGGCAGAATGACTGAGATACACTGCTGAGGGGAGCAGCAGGTGGGTCAGGAGAGGTCTGCCACACCATGTGGGTCACCCCCCTGGCTGGGGATCAAACTTGTGTTGCAGTAGCTTCGCTAGCTTCACAGTGCTGCTTTAACCCACTGCACCACTTGATTCCTTTTGGCATTACACAACCACATCATCTCAACTCCATTGGGTAAAGTGGAACTAGCAAATCTCAGACTAGCAAATCTAGCAATGCTAGAGCATTGCCACTCCTTCCATGACTCTGCAATCCATACAGAGCCACAGAATTCTGATTCCTTTGGATATTCTGGAATGGCACTTAAAAGAAGAAAAAAAAACGAGAAAACCTATGGATCATTTAGAAGCATTGATTATCTTCTTGGGTGGGTAGTCTACAGCTAATGGTCTCATATCAAGAACTCCTATTTTCTTACTTCAATCCTCCTAGACCCATAGGCTCATCACTGCTTTGTACATTCTAAAGCACAATTCTTTAGTTTCTGGAGTAGTTTGACTCTCTAGGTCCAGTACTCGCGTCCATGGTCCATCTAGAGTCACTGAATCTAAACTTCCTGGGCTTTCTGGAACCACACGTTCTTTTCTTACCTTGTAATTAACATTCCTTATCATTGGTCAATTATGATAGTCTTGAGTACTTGGGGCATTCAATAACTTTTCTGCCAAGGTGGTAAAAAAATATTTTTTTAACCACTTGATTGACAAGTCTAGAAGCAATAGTCCCTTGACTCCGCACCAATAAACTCTTGAACTCTGTTGCTGCTCAAGCATTACTGACTTCCTCCTATGGAGGTAATCTATACCATTGATTCCCAACCCTGCTCAACCACCCAAACCAGCCATACAGAGGAAACTAGAACCACAGTCTCTGCCTTTTGGGTGATTCAGAATTCTGGATTCCTCAGTTCTGATGAGATTGAGGAATGGAGCAGATAAAACGGTGGACCTCAGGAAAGAGCATAGTATGCAGAAGATTCAGGGTTCAGCATTTCCCTGGTGGGTCCATCAGGCAAAGGCAGAACCTCACCAGCTAATCATTTATCCGTCAGGACTGTCAGTTGTGGAATACACCTTCCCCAGTCTCAGGAGTAGGCCTAGTCTCTCCATCTTGCTACAGCTGGGGAAAGGTACAAATGGTGGGCACCACCTTACATCATGGGGGCAGGGTCAGTGCCAGAGTTGGTGAGAGCATTTGGGGGCTAGCAGCGTCATCTTCTGCCCCTGCCTCATCCCCCTCATTGGCCTCTTCCTCCTCTTCTTCCTGGCAGCAGCTCAGAGCAAGTTCATTCTCATAACAAAACGCAGCCAGAGAGCCAGGAAAGCTAGACTTGGGGCTGTGGGAAGCCTGTTCTGCCCGTTCATCCAGCTCCTTGGCACTGCAGACAGGTGTCCCTGGGACCTCATAGGTGCGATGGAAGTGGCGATAGTCGACCTCATACTGGGAGCCACGTTGGAAGAGTACTGGTTCAAACCGATGGCCCCAGAGCAGCTCACCAGGGAGATAGGAGGAGCGACACTGGGTGGTCATAGCCGTAGCCTCAACCATACCCTCCAGAATGACCACTAGCTCAAAGTCAGCCCGAGCCAGCTCAGCACGTCCTAGTTCATACAGAGGACTGGCAGAGTCGATTTCATGCACAATGGTGATGGGAGACACAAGGAAGATGCGATCGGTGCCACCATCAAAGCCCACGTCTACGTCCTGGTGGTCCAGTGGTATGTACTCACCCTCTGGGGTCACTCGAGGCTGCAGGGAAAGATGGGGGAACCAAAGACAGGCAGCAGGATACAGAGACAGGCAGAGAGAGAAAGGGATAGAAATGCAGCAAAAGTGAGCAAGAATGGGCATGGTGCAAGGACATGGGCCCAGAGACAGGGGATGGTGGCTCCAGAGAGAGGGGACAGACAATCGGGAAGGACAGGATGGTGGCCAGACATACATAGGATTTGGGGATAGATACCAGAGGGGAAGAAAGAGGAAGAAAAGGACAGGGTAATAGTGGCATGGGCAGAGGCAACAGAATGACAAAAGGCAGTTGGAGAAGGAACAGAGGGAGAGAAAAATGGCTTTCAGTCTGTGGCTAGAGAAAGATAAACCTCGATGGCAATCTAGGCCCAATACCCTGTATTTGCCAATGTCTCAGGCTAGCCCCGGGCTATCCGCACCTCCAAAGCAGCTACAAACTCCTCCACCCACTCCATTGTGTGTACATGTGTTTGTCTGGATGGGGTGGGGTGGGGTGCATGCCTCCCTAGGCTAGGTATTGGTAGTTCCCACTCTTACCCCTGATTCCATCCCCACCTCCCAGCCTGCAATAGCACTCACAGCTTTCTGGGAGAGATGGTATCCCTCCTGGCCATGATTCTGGTGTCTCAGCAAAGGAGATGGATTTCTTGCAACTGTCTCGGGGAGACCTCAGATGTTTCTTGCAACTGTCTCGGGGAGACCTCAGATGTTTCCCACTACCTTTGGCCCCCTCACCCAAGTCCAGCTTCAGCTCAGTGTTCTTAAATATCAACATTTCGGGCAGAGCAGCTACCCTAATGTTTTGGGACTGTGGAGATGTTTGGGCAGTTTGACCATGATTCTAGAAACACTAAGGCACCTTTCTCAGGGCACCCGAGGGACCAAGGAGAGTTGTCATTTTTGCTAAGCTATAGTTCAAAAGTGTTTCCCAATCTCCCCCGACCCCTACCCCTTCCTCCAAAAGGGAGGCTGGTAGAAGAGACTGGGCTCCGGAGGAGAGGCATGAATTCTCCCATAAATGCACAGGGACTTCAGGCTCAGAGGCCATGAAGAATTGGGTTCACCTGCTCTGCAGGTGTGAGCAGCACCCTATCTCCAGGCCTACATCAGGGCAGTCCCATAGGAGCTTGGCCTCGAGTCAGGCAGCAAGTCAAGTCCAGGCCTCCAGGAAGGCCTGGTCACAGACCTCCCTCTTGGGTATACACCTCCCACAACTGTCAGAAACACAGCTCAGTCCAAAAGGGGCAGAGGGAGAGTAGGTGCCAGAGAGACTGGGGCAAGCTGTAGTCCCCGGTCTGACACCCACCCACCCTTCTGCCTCCATTTCACACAATCCCCCGGGGTTCTAACCCCAGCCTCCCTCTGGGAGCACGGCCCTGCCAGGATCGGCCAGCACCTGCAGCAGCTGGGCCCGCACGTGGGCCTCTACAAGGTGGCTGCGGCGCAGGTTGCCCACGCGCCACATGAGGCAGAGGCGGTGGTCCCGCAGCGCCACGACCGCGTTCTCGCTGAAAACCAGTGTCTCGTTGCGCTTCTTGGGCTTGGCCATCTTGGCCATGACAGCGCCCACGACGAAGGCATCGAGCACACAGCCCGCAATGCACTGTAGCACCACTGCGGCCACAGCAGCCGGGCACTCCTCGGTGACGCTGCGGACACCGTAGCCGATGGACGTCTGTGTCTCCAGCGCGAAAAGGAAGGCGGCCAGGAAGCTAGCCACCTGGGAGAAGCAGGGCGCGGGCGGCGGTGGGGCGGCCAGGTCACCGTGCAGTGAGGCGATGAGCCAGAAGGCCAAACCAAAGAGCAGCCAGGAGGCAAGGAACGAGCAGGAGAAGAACAGGCACATCCAGCGCCAGCGCACGTCTACGCAGGTGGTGAACAGGTCACTGAGGTAGCGTGCACCTTGGCCGCCCAGGTTCACGAAGCGCACGTTGCAGTGGCCATCCTTCTTGACAAAGCGCCCGCGCCTCCGCCCCACTGGCGAGGGTGCAGGCGCCCACCCGTTGCGGCACAGCCCTGGCCCAGCTTCCTCCTCATCGCATGCCTGGGGGTCCCCTGACTCCAGGGCGCCGCTAAGGCGGCGCAGGGCCCTGGCCAGGCCCATTGGGCAGGGCCACCCCTTCCACTCGGCCTAGTGGGGGGCGGGCGCCCCAAACCTGCAGGAAAAAAAAATGGGAGGCGACATCAGGGTGGTGCCAGGAAGAGACAGGCTGCTTCGCCAGGCGATCTCCTTGGGCCTCAGGGACTGCATATGGCAAGTGGGTAGGTTGATAGTCTCCTTGCAAGTCAAAATAGCCATATTGTATCAGCCGTGAAGACGCTTGTACAGCAAGAAGAGTAACAGTGCAGCCATACAGTATTATAGTGAGTACCAGGCACGCCAACATTCAGTGCCAGGTGCTGTAGTGAGCCATTTACATGAATTTATGTTTTGGAGTATCGCAACCAGCCACTTGTAGACGTTAGATGGATCCCCATTAGATGGATGAGGGGAAGAAGGAACAGAATGTTGAAGTAACGGCACAAGGTCACAGCTAAGTCAGCTGGGGTTTAAGTACCCTCTGTCTAGTTCCAGTATCCATGCCCTTAAGAGACTAAATGGTAACTGCTTCTCAACATGGAGCCAGGGTGGAGAGAGAGGCGGGGGCTCTGAGATCCAGGATCCAAAACAGGCTCAGAAAGCACAAAAAGGATACGTTTCCAGTTCATCAGACTTCTACTTCCAAGACCCTCCCACTAATGTGAGAAAGTAGCTGCAAGTCATGTATCTAAGCAATGTGCACCTGAAATATATAAAGAGCCCTTGCAACTCAATAATAAAAAGACTGTGGAATTAAAAAATTTGAATGGAACTTTTACTCACAGAGATAGCCAAAGAGCCAATCAGCATATGTAAAGATGTTTGACATGACAAGCCAGCAGGAAGTACAAATCAAAAGCACAATAGGCTACCATGGCACACCCATTTGGGATGACTATACTAATAAAATAACAAGTGTTAGTAGGGATGCAAATTTAGTATCCCACTGGTGGGAGGTAAAGTGGTGCCACTTCAGTGGCAAGCAGCCTGACAGCCCCTCAAATGACTGAAACTCATGACCCAGCAGACCCACTGGTAGTTATCCAGCAACGAGAAACGAAAATGAATGTCCATGCAAACACTGTATGCCAGTGTAAGTAGCAGCCTTATTCATAGGAGCAAGAAGATGGAAACAATGCAGATGTGCACCAGAGGATGAATGTGAAACGTGGCTAGTTAACATCCAAGCAATGGAACTACTCAGTAATGAAAAGGAATGATGTTCCAATAGACACTACAGGAGGAAGCTTAAAAACATGATGCTGAGTGAACAAAGCCAGGCACAGAAGCACACCTAGTAGAGGGCTGTAATTTCTAGGAAATGTCTAGAATGGGCAAATCTATAAATTGAGAAAGTAGAGTGGAGCTGCCTAGGTGGGGGAACTGGGAAGCCAAAGGATGTGGGATTTCTTATTGGAGTGATGAAAGTGTTCTCAAATTATTTGTGGTGATGGTTGCACAATTCTGTGAGTATACTAAAAGAACATTTCTATACTTTAATGTATGAAGTGTATGGTATGTGAATTCTATTTGTAGGGTTAACATCTGGCATGGTAGAGCCTTCTGGCACTTGTCTGGGCCAGGGGTTATGTATTTTTTAAAGGTTTATTTATTTATGCTTACAAAACTGGGGTACAAGCCAGAGGTGCAGGGGTGGTGAGAGGAATCACCAGAGACAGAGTGGGGAGCAGAACATGCAGATCGACGAAGTACACTGCTGAGGGGAGCCGTGGGTGAGACAGGTGAGGTCTGCTGCACTATGTGGGTCACCTCCCTGGCTGGGGATCAAACTCTGTGTTGAAGCAACTGTGACTAGCTTCGTGGTGCTGTGCTTTAACCTGTTGCGCCCCCAGGAAGGGCCCAGGGATTACATATTTTGCATACAGTTCCATCACATTTACCAAGCACCTAAAGAACAGGTGTCCCTGGTGCCAGACTCTGGGGCTCCTCATGGACTTCAGAGGCTGTTAGCTAAAGTCATGGTCTACACCAGAAGGTACCCTCTACCCCAGTGACCGTATGGAGTGTCAGTAGGCCCATTCCATGGGATGATGCTGAGGCTCTTAGAGTGGACTTGAGCACATGATGGTAATTACCTGGGGTGCTAGACACTGTTCTGAAAAGGAGAAACAGGCCAGTTGCTGAAAGCTATGACCTCTACATCTGCAGCCCCTTTTGGCTGTACCCTACACCCATGTCCTCATCTCTTACCAGAAACCTTGTCTCAGTACCTGGTGGGCATGACACTGGATGCCCACCTAGGCTTCTTGGGTGCCAGAGCCTGATCGCTGACCCAGACCACCTCACCAAACATGCCCTGTGCACTTAAGATGACCCTGCTCATTGAGTGCCCACAGTCCACTCACCTTACTGCTCAGGACACTGGGACGTCAGTACCCTTGCCCCATTTCAGTTTGGTGAACAGGTTTAGAGGCCTGGCCAAACCCAGGCAGTGCCAGGAATGGAGTACCATTTGGGATCTTTCCAACCCAGGGCTCTGCCTCCTAAATCCCAGTCCTACCTTCACCCACCAGGCTGGTGTGACCCTGTTCATGCCACACAGCCAGATGGGGCTCTTTACCTCTGGGGAGGGGGGGCGGTTCATGTCCAGTATGACTCAATTCACAGGCAGTGGATGTGACTGGAGCTCATTACCTCCACTTCTCATAAAGGTGGGATGGGAGAGAAAAGGATCCACAGCCTCAAGTCCTCCTCCTCCATCCCTCCCCCATCTCTGCCCCAACCTGCAAGAGAAGCTTAACGTTTCCATATAAAGGAGACGCAGGGCTTAAGGTGAATGAACTTGGTGTCAAAGTCATTGTCTAATCTGAGGCCAAGAAGCCCTGCCCCTTGGCCACCACTTCCCTTCCCCCAAAGGAAACATTTCCATGCCATTCCCACCACCCTGGGTGTTCTCCTGGCTCCCCACCTACCACGGGTCTGGCAGTAGGTTGGAGGGTAGAGGTTGGCAGAAAGAGATATGGGCAGAGAAGCTGAAAATGATATTGAGGCCAGAGATGAACACGGAGAGACGGTGCTAAGAGGCAGACCTGTGAGGAGGTCTAAGAGGAGGAATGCAGTGGATCTGCAGGGCGGCTGAGGGGGAGAGGAGCACATGATGGGGGCGGGGGTCAGGCCCAGGGCAGAGAGCAGAGGAAAGACAGGCAGACTAGACTACTTCTTAGGAAAAGAACTCAAGGCAGGAGCTGAAAAGATGGAAAGAAGGGAGGGGACAGTGTCAGAAGAGCCAGAGATGGGTAGACGTTCCTGATGAGACAGACAGTAGGAAAGGGCAAGTTAGAAAGGAAACAGAGGTGAGATCAGATTTGGGGGATAGGGATTGTATTTTTGTCACTGAGATGAAGAACAAGAATGGGGGAATGTGGAGGCAGAGTCCCCTGAAGCAGGAAGGGGGGGGGCAAAAGGACATGGGATGGCTCTTAGGCCCAAGGCCCACGCTGGGGCAGCCCAGAGGCACTTACCTGGTGGGGCGGCCCACCCCCATGCCCTCCACCAGGGACTCCTGTGCCAGGACCAAAGGGAAGCTTCTGTGGGTGCTGAGGGGCTGCTGTCTGTTTCTAGCCCCAGGGACTTTGTGCCGGGTGCCCGACAGACCAACCGACCTGTGTCCACTGGAGGATCAGAGACCTGGCTTGGGGGGGTGGAGCAGGAGGTGGGGCCAGCCCAGAGCCGCAGAGGGGGAGCCAGGGAGAAAGGCCAGGCAGAGTGGCTGGGCTGCAGCCCAAGAAAGCTGGAGAGGAGACAGTGGCAGAGGAGAAGGGGGGGGTTGGGGTAGGGCAGAGACACACAAAGATAGAATACAACTGGGGTGGAGATGAGAGGGGCATGGACAAAGCAATATGATAATGGTGAAGGGGACAGTGGTAGGGAACAAACGAATGGTGGGGGAGGGAGGTTCCTTTGCCCTAGACGGAGCTTTAAAATGTTGATGTCACAGGTGAGCTAGCTCTGCCGGGGACCTAGAATGAGTTTCAGATGGAATCAAATGGGGAAAGGAATACCCAGTGGGTTGAAGGCCGGATTTCTAGTGGCCCAGGACAGTAGGGTGCCACCTTCCTGCCTCCTGCTCCTGTTTCAGAGGGCAGTGGCCAGACAGACAAGCCTCGCACTCACACACCAGGCCTTGCGCTGGTTCTTTATTGACCCCAGCAGCGCCGACACTCTTCCTGCAGTGTCTGTCTTTCCACAGGAAAGAGGCTCATGCAACCCAAGCTGGGAATTCCTAGCCCAACCTGGCTTACTGAGTCAAGGTACAAGCCCAGACTGTTGGGAGGAACCCATCCCTCAGGCGTGATCAGGCAGGCGACGGCACTCGAGTTCCCAGGGGAAACCAGCAGCCAGAGCTGCGTCCCAGGGCCGAGGCCCTGCAGGTCAAGCCACTGCCACAACTGTCAACAGTCACAGCACTAGGCCCGAGGGAAACATGCGACCAGCAGGAGTGTGTCAGCAGGCGGGCGGCAGTGGTTTCACAGGCCCCTGATCCAACCCAGGCCCCTGGAGGAGGCAGCACTAAGCCAAACCAAGTAAGTTGAGAGAAACAGGTGAAACTACCTCCTTTGGCAGAGGGGGGCCACCGGACCCAAACAAATCTTTTTAGAGAACAATCATAAATACAATCTATCCTGGCGGATCAAAGTCCTCTGGGATGGGGCACGCTCGGCAGATCTGACTGAGTCCCTTCCTGGGAAACCAGCTTCGGCTGCGGCTCCCGATGGGAAGGCTGGCACGGCGCTGCACCACCACCTCAAACACTGATAGTGCGGAAGACAGTAAAGCCGGACAGGGCTGTGCTGACCAGAACCCCAGGGCACTGTGGGTGCCAGTGCAGCTCCTTCAGGTCCGTCTCTCCCTGGTGCACGAACAGCAGCTGCTGGGGAAGGTCTGCCAGTCCTGGGTCGGTTTCCAGGTCACCTGCCTCAGGGTCCCGCTCTACTGCCAGATCCCACTGTGTGATCTGGTTGTCTGCACCGGAGGCAGCGAAGACCCCGCTGTCCTGGGGGTGCCACTCCACGGAGGTCACGGGGGCCACGTGCTGCTTGAAGGTGGCCACAGGGGAGCCAGACTATGGGAAGAAGGAAATCAGGGCCTATGAGCACTGTAGTCTGACTCCTGGGGTGACCCAGGCAAAGCCCCACCCCTCTTCAGCCTTGCAAGTTGACCAGGGTTCTACCCCTTTGACTCCATCAACCCAGCTTCTCTAAAATGGAGAGGGCGTCCTGGGGGCTGCTGGATTAGCCCCAGTTCACAAAACCCTCACCCTGGCACATCTGTTTCCTCTCCTGTAAAAGGGCGAGGGTGAGGTTCTTCAAATACAGCAGGGAACCACAAGCTGCAATTTTTACTGCCCTTTCTGTGCCTCAATTCCCTCTTTTGCAATGAGTGGGCTGGGCCCTAGTTCTCAGCCAAAAGCCGCTGAAAGAAACACTACAACTCCCAGAAGCTTTGGCCTCTGGGCAGTACAATCAGTTGCACCATATCCCCTGGGGCGGATCTGAGATGTTGACTCTGCCATCCCAGGCCTTCAGATTTGTCAACTCCCCACTAGTGAAGTGAGTGAGCCCACACTGGCCACAAGCCTTCCTCGCTAGGTGTACAAAACCACTGAAGGAGAAAAAACCCATAAACTTGAGGGGCTGCTGGGCACAAGAGCTTCTCTAGCCTCAGGTGTCTACTTGGGAAGGTACCTTGAACTGCCGCAGGTCCCAGACCTTGAGGGCCCCGTCATCCCCACCACTGAGCAGGAAGGGCTCCCGGTGGCTCCAATTGATGACATTGACATCGCCATCGTGGGCAGCAGTGGTGGTGAGCATGCAGGCCTTGCTGGGGGCTGCCCTGATGTCCCAGATACGAATGGAGGCATCAGCAGAGCAGGAGGCAAATACCTGGCACAGGCAGAAACTGAGTTGATCTCCATGGATGCCCCACTGGGTCTCAGAGAGGTGGGTTGCCCTCTCTTTTAGTGCCCTCTAACTAGGATTTGCCCCCAACTCCCCTCACCGTGTCTTCAGATGGAGACCACTGCAAGTCTTCCACAGACTGTGTGTGGCCTGCGAATGGTCGCTGGTCCACGTGCCAGGAGCCACCATCTGTTGGCGTCCAGAGGTGGACATTCTTTTGACAATCACCAGTCAGCAGACGCCCTGGGGAAAGGAGTCGGGAAACTACCTCGTCTCAGTTGGCCCCAGCTCACTACCCTCTCTGGAGGATTACCAACTCCCCTGCCATGGATACTGCTTCTTCCCACCTTCCAGGACCCAGTGTGCAACCCAGAGACTCACCAGGCACACGGGGGGACCAATCTAGCGCAAAGCCTTCGCCCATGTGGCCGGCGAAGGAGAAGATGGGCTTCACATGGGCCTGCTCATCCCGGAGAAAGGTTGCCAAGGCCTGGGGGTCTTCTACCACCTGCAGAAGCCGCCGCAGCGCATATACCTCCACCTGGCCTTTCTCTGACCACACCCCAGCCACTGGCTCCTCACCCAGCCATGATACCTGTGGAGCAAGAGGATGGGAGATGAACGGCTAGGGCAGGTGGCTCAGTGTGGTGACCACAGCTCCAAGTGCTCCTGTGAACAGAACCACAGTTCCTCAGACCCTTCAGGACCAGGACCACGGCCCTCTGGGGTAAGGAGTCACAGATCACAAGAGCAGTGTGATACCTGAGATAGTTCCCACACTGGCGTAGTGGCCATCATGAGGGGAGGACAAAATCCTTTCAGATTTCCAGGAATGGAGATTCATTCCATCAGCCCTCAGAAGTGTCTCAGACCTGTCACCCTGTAAATGTTGGCAGCTCTCGGGCCTCCACATGTGTACTCACCAGGAGACCCTACTAATTTCAAGGTTTATGGTAGCCTTGAGTGCTAACCTCTCCCCTAAATTCAACTTTCTAAACTAAAGTCAAATTCCTGGTGATAGACTTAATTGACTTCTCTCTTCTTCACACCTGCCATCTACACTGGCTACACAGACAATATATCACTCCTAATTCACTGCTCTCTTGTAGTGACTTATACTACTACTGATGTCATCCTTCCCGAGATCCTCACTCTTACAACCTACTTCTGCTCTTGCCTCCCTATAGTCTATCCTCAACATAGCAGCCAGAGGGATCCCTGTAAAACACAAATCACATTCATCTAGCCTCAGTTCATTTCCAAGTGAAAGCCAAGCGCTTAAAATGGTCTACAACAATAGTGTGCCCCACGCGTGCCCCCAAATCTTGTCACTCTCATTTACTCCTCCCTAGACACACTGACCTCCCCAGCTTCCCTTGAAACTCCTCAAACATGTCAAGTTCACTCCAGAGACTTGCTCTGTATTTTTCCTTGCCTGCAAAATCTTTTACCACAGTTATCCTTGGCTCACTCCCTTACTTCTTGTGAAAAAATTATTCCTATGAAAAATTATCTCTAAAAACAAGTACTTCCCAACTACAGTGTTTAACACGCAGAGTTTAACTGAGTTACAGTAGCCACCCCACCCAAGGAATGCCCTCGCTGCCTCACTTTGCTTTATTTTTGGACAGATAACACATTTAGTCTGTTCTTGTTCCCTCCTGCAAGAGCATGTAAACTTTATGCAAGCAGCCCTTTTGTTTCCTGTTAATCCCCTAGTGCCTAGAAAACTCCCTGAAACATTACAGTTCAATGGGAATATCTAGGAAGGCTTATGGGTCAAAAGCAATCCCAAGGGCTGTGCATACATTTTAATTTGTTGGTGTCATTTAACTTACACATAAATTTGTGGAATGGGGATAATAACTCTAAAGCTCAGAGTAACCTCACAGTCCACTACAATTTCTGAACAATAACAAAACACCACATGTCACACTACAACCAACTCTTATGTGTAGGTACCCAAAACAACTGCATTTCAGTTGAAATAACAGATTCCATTTTATTCTCACATCATCCCCACTCACGAAGTTTTATAACTCAAGAATTTTAGAATTCTCACCATTTCACAGATGAAGAAAGTAGAAACAACCCATAGTATATAACATGTAATGAAAATTATAAAAAAGAAACATGTAATCTAAGATAGAAAATCATGTGTCAGACACTTCTAAAAGCTGAAGGACATGAAATGTCAGGGTGTAGATCTGGGGCTTTGGGGTGTACTTCAGCACCTGTAGAGCAGGCTACTAGAACTGTATTTACCCGGACTCGGTTGATACCACCATAGTGGGGCACCATAGCCAGCTCCAGCTGGGGCTTCCTTTCCTCTTCATCCTCTTCATCTTCCTCCTCCTCTTCATCACTGTCCTCTGGTGTTGTGTGCTTTGTCCCATGCAGGTTGTGCATACGAAGCATCATTAGTCTGGGGGGAAAGTGTAAGATGAGTGAGGCAATAGATGACAGAATCTTTAGGGGAGAAGGAGGTGGAAATCTTGGGTCCCAAGGAAGTGAGAGGCTAGGACTCAGACTCCTGGTCTAAGAAAGCCTCAGGCGCCCACGTACCTGTTGTTCTGGGCACTCTCTGCCTGAGTTCCAGCACAGAGGTAAAGTGTAAGAGGCAATTCTGTCCGGCTGTCTCCCAGATGATCCCGGACTATGTCGAAACTGAGACATGGGGCTCCTGGGTATGGAAAAAGGGGTGGAAAGTTAGAGAGGCATACCCTTAAGCGCCAGAGGGGCGTCAGACCCCGCCTCCTTCAAGCGCGGACCTCTCAGGACCCAGAATCCCAGTGCCCTCCTTCCATTGCGCTCAGATGTCCGGGGGTCCAGCCCTACCAGTCTGCGCTCGGTGGTAGAGCACGTAGGCTTCCTCGTCCATGACTAGCTCTTCTCCTTCACGCAGCGGGGGTCCCCGGCCAGGGAGGTACACCTGGGTCGAGCCCTCAGAAGCGGCGTCGCTAGAGTCAGCCTCCATGGGTTCCCCAGTTTCACACGTGCGCCGCTTATTTTTGCGCGCCGCCATCTTCGAAGACACTTACTGCCGGCGCAAGCGGAGAGCGTCACTTCCGAGCGTCACTTACGCTTGTATCCCGCTGCTGCCCAGCTGCAGTTACCTTGGAAACCTCCCAGTTCAGGAAGAGATGCTAAGGAGAACTAGGTAATGGCGTCCAAGCCTAGCGACAGTAGTTTGAGGACACCGAGAAATTCCACCCGCTTCGTAGTTTTGGGGCGTTCTTCCGGTTGGGCACTGGCAAGGCCTCCTGGGAGTTGTAGTTCTGTAAGAGAGCTGCTCTCCCCATATCAACTGGAGGCGTACGGAACCAGTATTCTGTGTTCCACCTTTGACTGCCTGTGCTTGTTTTCCACTTAAAAATTAATTATTCTGTGTGCAAACAAGAGCTTTTACTGGTAGGGAGACTGTTTTTTTTTTTAATCCCCGTGGTCCAATGAAGCCGGTTTCTTCTCCCCTCTTGTTATGATGGATTTAATTTACTTAAAAGTGCTTTAGTATAGACAGGATGCTATTACATGTAAGTTAGTCGGTTGAATCTACCCTCTAGGGGCAGTCAAGTTGCCTAACGAAGTGTTCACATTGCAACTATGGTGAGTGAGCACTAAATCAGAAAGTCCACGCTCTGGAAGTCCCTATTACAAGTGCTGCGACACTTTATTGCCCATCAGCACCAGAGGCTTGGCTAATTGGAATAATGAAATATTACAAATAGATACTCATTGACGGGATTAATGGCACTCAAGATATTTGTATTGGTGTATTGACTTGCACTTAGTGGACACTCTACTAGCTTGCATGAATAGGATATTAAGAATCCAGCAAGCCTCACTGCCGGTAACCATAGGAATGGAACCCTAGACTTGATCCTAAAATGTTTTGATCTCGAATCTCTCACCACTTCTCCCCTGCTCCTGCCCTTCTCAGGGTCTTTTCTCACCACCTCCTTATAGGTCTTTGTCTCCCATCTTCCTCCTAGGTTTCTGCTTTTGCTTTATTTGTCCCCTCTTACTCTGTGGAACTTTTCTTCATTTCTATTCCCTCGGAAGAAATTTGCGTGGTTCGGGGGGTGGGGGCGGGGGGAGGATGGCTGAAAGACAGACCAGGAGTTCACACTTGGAATGAGGAGGCATAAAAACATGGTTTATTCCAAACACTGCAATGTGGAACAGGAGAGTGGGAAGGCAGGTTGGTGGTGAGTGTGGACTCTCAGACCCTCTCCTCCACAACACAGCTCCAGACCCGGCTGGAGATCTGGGAAGAGACTTTTATGGGTCTGCTGGTTCATCACTTGCAGGATCACAAATAAGGGTTGAATTTGGAGAAGATGTGGTTGGTGGCACCTGGGACCAGTAGTGAGGTATGACAGGGTGGGAAATGTTGGCAAGGTTAAGGTCCGGATCAACGCTGGGGCAGGGAAAGGCAGGGCTTCTGTTGGGGAAGTGTCCTAGGTTAGAAAAGGTAAATGCGACAGAGGTGGGTAAAGGAGGGGGTGTCACGGTTTGTAGTCAAGGGTCACAGTCTGGTAGGGACACAGTCTGGGGTTTGGGTCACAGTTTGGGGTCGGGGTCACAGTCTGGGGTCGGATGACCATTTTTAGGGGTCGGAAGTCACAGTCTGGGGTCAGGGGTTTCTGTGTGGCAGGGCCAAGGTCTGGGGTCACAGTTTGGTGAACGCGTCTCACAGTTTTGAGTCCCGATGGATGAAAGGTTAAAAACGGGCTTCCCCGGAGGCGTGGCTAGGGCCGGGGAGCTGCACAGTGATGTGGGGGCCACGGCCCCGGGCGTGGGGGTGGGGCGCGGGCGTGGCGTGACCCCCCCACCTCCCGCCTCATCTGGTGACATTAAAAAGCCCTTGTCGGGTTTAAAAAAAAAAGTCCAGTGGGCTCTGAGATCCCCGCCCTTTGCTCTCTGGCCGCATGAGATGTAGGGGGACCAAGCCCCTCCGGTCGCAGCATCCCCAAAACGAGGGACGCAGGACATTGCTCCAGGCGGGGTCCGGCTAGTTCCATTTTTTTCTTCCCAACCCACGCGGGTCCTCTCCATTTCGTGTGCCCCCTCGGGCTGTGGCCTGCGCTGACCGAGGGGGCGAATAGGGCCCCCCGGCCGCGTCATACCTCGGACTCAAGACTGGAGAAGTGCGCCGAGCCCCTGCGTGTACCCAGGTCCCCTCCCCGGTGTCTCCGATGCGACGCGGTGGGCAGTGGAGGCCCCCAGTGCGCAGCGTGCGGACACCGGCGCGCGTGGCGGGAAGGCCCGGTGAGCCTGCGTGCGGGGGCAGCGCGAGGGCACGAGCTGAGGTCCTCAAGCGAGCGCGAGGTGGGCGCCGGCGGCGGGAGG